GGGGGGGGGGGGGGAGGGGGTCCCCGCTGAGGGCGGCTCGCGCTTCCCGCCCTCCCGGCTCCGGCTGCCCTCGGGCTCCCCGCTCGGCCCTGACGCCCGTGGAGGTCGGTGTGTCCCGGGGTCTCGGGTCCGGCCCGGGCTCCTGGGCGGGAGAGCCCTTGCTTTGGGACGGGAGCTGGGGCTCCAGTCGCGAATAGGCGGGCGGGGGCCGGGTCGTGTGGTGCGGCCGGTGCCGTGCCGGCGTGAGGAGCCAGGGAGAGGCGGGGGGGGGGCCCGGCGGCGGGGCCGGGCGGCCTCGGAGGTGGGGGGTTGCGGAGCGGGTTGTCCCCAGGTGCCGCCTTTCTGTGTCGGTGACGGTGTCAGAAATAGGGCAGGCTTGCTTTGCCCCCGAAATAGGCTTGATAAGGGGCGCTAGCCAAGAAGCAGCTCTTCGGAAGAGGTGGTGGTGGGAAATAGTCATTTCCTTTGTCACCTGGATGGAGAGGAGGTCTTCAACATACTCCACTCTGGACCGCAGAATAAAACGTTTTGTAAAAAAGCCTGTAGATTTTCGGGGATTATGTGAATTTGGCTTAAAACCTGTAACTTCACGATAGTTAACTGACGCTGTTAAACTGCTAACCCTACTTTTGGAACAGATTAATTATGTTTGTCAAGGTAAAGACAAATATTAAAAGTCCTGGTGTGCTTTTCACTTCATATATTCCTCCATTAGGTCAGTTTTAAATGCCTGCATATTTAAGAACAAGTGCTAGAACTTTGGGCTAGTGATAGTGTGTCTATACTTTGGGTTATCCTTGCTGATTACACTTGTTCAATTTCCTACCAGTCACAGAACTTAGGAGTGTCTAAAACATACTGCTACATCTTTTCATTTCAAGCACATTTTTCAACTAGGGCCTTTTGAAACTCAAGTTTTGTTTCACATTTAAGATTTTGGATTTTTTTTTTCTCTACATATTTATTATATTCTCCCAGTGACTGTTATTACTATTAGAGGCTGTATGTGAATTTCAGTATGCAAGTTCTACGAAATGTATACATTTCATCTTTTATTTCAGTATTCTAAAATTTGTTGCACAAATTTACCTTGGCTTACTGATCTTGCATTAAGAAAGCATGTAAGTGAATATTTACATCAAAGTACATTAAAGAATATTTTCAAAAGTGTCAATACATCAGAGGTGATTGTATGTGCTTCTCTGCATGTGCATAGTGTAGTGAGGCCCCCTGTTTTTATTCCTTCAGTTTTACAATAACTCTTTAGGTACAGTAATAATGAAAATAAGTAGGGTGTTAAAATTCCTTCCCAGTGGGTGCTTTTAGGCTGGTATTTTCAGTGTACGTTACTCGGGTACTACTAGGTACTATCAGCTGGCTTCTTGGTAATTTAGAGTGTTTCACAATACACTTCAGTGTTGGGTATGTCATGTACTTGGGGGGGAGGAGGGAAAGCAAAATGGAAACTACCTGCTTGAAAATTTGAAAAAAGATGAAGAAAATTCAAAATGAGTAAACTTTTAGTTACAATAGAGCTTGTCTGGCAAGGAAAGTAACAACTTTATGTTGCATTTTGTTAATAAATTTTTTTCTTAAGCGTTAAATACCTTCCCAAGCTTCTGAAAAAAGGGGGACGGGGGATTTAATGGATTAATATTGACTGGGCAGCTATTGAACCTTTGAATAGAAGTTTTATTATGGAAGCCTTGGCATTGAGTACCATGTAATCTGACTCTTACTGCTAACATCTATATGCCAAACCATCGTTTGTCTGTTTTATGATAAGCTTTCTGTGACATTTAGTTGCAAAACAAAGATTTTGTAAGGCTTAAGACGTATATGGTAGTAAAAGTTAAATGTTTGCTAGTTTATGTTATTCCTTCTACATCCTACACGCAGAAAAAGTTTATGAAAATGGGCAGAAAATTCCATACAGTTAGTTCTGCTGCTTATAGTTTTAGTACTTGCAAAGTTTCAAGAAACCACCTGATTTTTTTCGTGTTAATAAAAAGAGATTTGAGACATCTTTCAAGTAAGCTATCAAAGTTCACACTGCCACAAATTCCAACTGCTCTTAAAAATTAAGAAAAATTTAAAAACAAAAGGGGGGGGAGATGACAAAATGATATATTTCCAATATGCCAGGTGAAGCAAGACATCGTGACAGAACTGAAACATTTAGCTTTCACTATGAAAAATACGCAAACCCTCAAACCTATACCCAAAAAGACACATTACACAACTTACCAGCAAGTAAGGAAGGCATTTACAGTAGAAGAAGGAGATAAACTGAATGTAGAAGCTATAGCTGGGTTACACTGAAGACTTTGTTTAAGGAAGTATTGTGTAAGGAAAAGCATAACTGTGTCTTTCTCTCAGAGAAGAGCTGGCTATTTGGCAGTTATTAAAAAAAAAAAAGAAAGAAAAAAAACCCCTCTTGTTCCCTTCCCCCTGTTCCAAAAAGCATGTAAGCTCTGTTTTTGTTACACAAGTGACTTCACAGGACAATAAACGGAACTGTTCGATTCAATCCAAGCTACAGTACAGCAAAACTCTAGACCATCTATTTAGATGGATGTCAGATAATATAGCTATGCTGGGAACCTTATTCTGACTTTCCTTTATGTAAAATCCTACCATTGATCCATGTGTACAGGTAACAGGTATATTGTGAAGGATCAGTAACAAAAGGCAATCACATGGGGTTATGTTGTGCAAACTAAAAAATTTAGTCTTGAAGAATTAGTTAGTTGAAGGAATCATTTCAAGATTGTTTGAGTTCAATTGATTGATTTGATAAGCACTGCAAACAAAACCTAAATCAATAGCTGTGGATCTCCCTTCTGGACTTAGGAAACCGCAGTTCCTAGCTTGGTAGATGGATGTGTTGTGATAGATATGAGCATATGGACATATCTTTTTGAGGAGTTTTGAAACCATTATTTTAAAATCTTATTTTTGATATGTAACAAATCCTTGTTTTGCAACATTTATGCTTATCTTAGCTAGGTAGTCAAAGGCAGAATGGAATGCTTAATAGAAGGACCTTCCCTCCCCCTGATGTATATTTGAATACTCTGTGTCATGGACTGTGTCTCTGAAACTTGCATGTTAATATGTGTAGGTATAGACATGAAGAGGAATACTAACAGTAAGTAAAGGAGATTCTTGAGGGCAATATTTTTATTTGATGAGTTTGCAAGAAAATAAGTAGGTTGAGCTGAATCACCTCACAGTGAAGTCAATGCTGCTGCTAATGTGAGCAAGGGGACTGTTAGGCCTAGACTGTTAGTTGAAGTAGAGACTTGTGATAGCCCAGTTTAGATGTTTTACTCCTCCTTCTCATGCAGTGTCTAAAATTCTGAAATTTTTAAGTGCTTTGAATTGAAGACTTATGTGCTTATAGGAATACCGTTCAGCCAATGTGGAGTAGTGATTGGGGTTATTAAAAAAAAAAAAAATACTCCCCATACACAAAGACCTTTAGGAGAGAAGAACTGTAAGGAAGTAATCCAGACTTGTGCATCACATTGACTTTCTAATGGCTAGTGCAACTGTTAAGCAAGTTCTAGGTTCTGTTTCCAGCTTTGCCTTTACTGGCTGCAAGACTTTCCTTGGTTTTAGTTTCCCTTTGCTAGCTTTACTTGTTAATTTGTAAATGCTTTATGAGTGTTCAACTCTCACCACAGGCTGAGAGTCAAGACCTAGCTAAATGAAATGTTACTTTGGATTTTAAATGCTATCAGAACTTAAATAGTGCTAATAGGCTTTTCGATGGATGTCTAGATAACAGAAGGAATGCAGATACAGTGTTTAGCTTTTTGTTGTTTTTATCTGTAGCAGCACAATACAAGATATAACTCAGAAGTACATAGTTCAGGTGTAGTATCCTAAGTAATGGGAGAAATCACGGAATGTCTGTCAGGAGATCAAATCCTTCTAGGCAGCGTGGCCAAACCACATATATTTGCCTTTCATCATTTTAAGTACAAGAAATTGGAAGGAATTTGCTTGGACTGAAAGGACCTGTGATTGATGATTTTAAAGATTGGAGTTACTTAGATGTTCAGAGGAGTAAGGCTTTCTACACTTTAAGCCGACAAAATGTATTAAAAAGAAGCTTTGAGTAGTCATGAGTAATATGATGAATTGTGTATATACTTATTAGGCATATCTGCTTTTACAGAATTCTGTTTAGCAGCGATCATTAACTAAAATCATGGCAGCTGCCAGTAGTGAGGTGCACCATCCTGTAGATCCTGGAATATCAAAGCTGCAGTTTGCTCCTTTCAGTAGTGCCTTGGATGCAGGATTCTGGCATGAACTAACACAGAAGAAACTCAATGAGTACCGATTGGATGAGACCCCAAAAGTTATCAAAGGATACTACTATAATGGTAGGTAGAAACTGAACATCTTGCTTAGTAGTTTGGGTTTCTCCTGTTATTCCTCTAAGTATTTGTGTAACATATTTTAGGTATTTTGCTGAAACACTAGAAAACACAGCTGGGTGAGCTGTGAATTCTGGTGTGTCTGTGGGTAATTTATAACTTATGTTAACAAAAAGAGGGAAATTAATCTATGTATTTCAGTTTAAAAGAAGCATGTTGCTGCTTTTTGTCCAGGTGATCCTTTGGGTTTGCCAGCTCGCTTGACATTGGAGTTTAGTGCCTTTGATATGTAAGTACGTACTGTGGTTTACCCTAATTCATATGTGAAGACACTTTCCTTGCATAACAGTAACACTTTGATATATAATATTACTTGGACAAATTCTACATGAAAATAAATACACATTTTCATGAACTTTGTAGTAGTGGAGAGACTGCTTTGAGTCGCAAACATTAACTTGCTGTGTCTGAAGTAGTATATTCATCTGAAAGACCAAGTTTAAAATATGCTGGTAAGTCTCAGATTCACTCACTGTTTGTATATATGTTTATATAAAATACCATTTTTTCCCATTTCTTCAGCTCTTCTGCGTAAGGGAGGATATTTCAGTCATCTGACTTCTGGTCAAATTTTTCCTTAGATCTTTCTTTATTGAGGATTCATCATTACACTTAGGATCTCAAAATAGTTTTTACAATCCCTAGTTGTTACATTGTAATATCTTCCAAAGTATTTAACATTTATGACTGGAATTTTGTACTTTTGCCTTTACCCACAAACTGAAAGGTAAACCAAAGCTGCTCAGTATACACAGCAAAAATGAGATGAGGAGAAATATTTTTTCCACATGGTTTTCATTTCCAGTAAATGCCTAAGTTAGTATAACTAACATAGGAACAGATGTCTTTGTAGTTAGTGTCTTGTTTGTTTTAAATTGGTGAATTATAAAGTTGTAAATCACAGAAGTGACTTTATCTGTCTTGCTTTGTGAGAATGTTAGGAGTCTAGTGAGGCTTTGTGCATTTTGAGGTAATTCCTTTGGAGATATTATTCCCTTAATTTTTATGTAAGAACTTTTAGGTGCAATACTGAAAGCATATGCAGCAAAGTGCAATTGGGAGAAACCTGTGACATTGGAAACAGGAATTTCACATTAGGAAAAAAATGGATGGTAAATGGATGGTACTGTAGTATTTGACCTCTCAAACATTATAACAAAAATATAATTATGAAAGGTCCATTTATGTAGTGTTTAATTATTCCTTCTACTGTAGTAATTTTCTGTATTTCTGTTTCTGTTCTTTAGGTGGTCAGTTTAGATGATCATGAAGAGTTCCCTTTTAGCTTTAAAAATTTTTGGAAACTACATCATGTGTATTTATTATGTAACTTAAACATTTGCTGTATTTGAGTTTTAACAGTGGTCAGAAACATCAGTTTGGGAGAATGATGTTAAAGGAGTCAATGAAATCAATCAGATCTATAAATTAAGGGAATATTGTATGGTTTTTTACCTATTTTACATTCAAAAAGGGGGAAAAATATATACTGTGTTTGCAAACAGCAGCTTCTCCAGCTGATGATGTTACAAACTATAAAAGCTACTCAATCTTTTGTCTGGTTTAGTCTTCCTTTGGGATGTTTTTTAAACAGAAAATTTTAACTGAGTAACTATGTGAATAAAATACTGACATCTAAAGTTCAGTCTTAATAATTTTTTCTTAGTGAAAATTGCATTTGTCATGGACAGTTTGTATTTGAACAGAATTTTTAGGTCTTCAATCTGTGATTCAATGCCACCTTGCTTAGAGATAATATAGATGCCTGATATATTGTATATCTAGACATGTATTTGCACGGGTATACCAATCCATGTTCAATAAAGCATTATGATCATAAAAATGTTTTCATTAGAACTGTTGCTAACTTTTGTTACTGTGCCTCATCATTTGACAATTTCAGGGCAACCTTACACCATAGGATAGCTACTGCTACTACTGCTGATCATGTTAAAGGTCTTAGTATCCAATTCCCAGAGGTTTCTTTCTTTTATTCAGGAATGCTTCAATACCAGCACATTGCTGTCCTGCTTTCGGAACATTGTATAATACCAACACTTTTGAGACTTTCAAATCCTGTGATAAGAAATCATTTCTGGAGAAAGAAGCAAATGAGGTATGATTAAAACTGTGGTAGAAAGGATTTGGAAATAACCAGTGAAGTTCTCTACAGTCTCTGCCCCAAATATTGGAGATACTGTCCATACTCACCCATGTAATTGCCTCAGGATTTAACTTATTCTGGAAGGAGTAGTTTGATGTTTGCTTTTTACTGCTCTTTACAAGAGAGTAGAAAGTAGCTAATTATATTTGGAGGACTTAATTCAGTGTTCTACTAAGCCACATTTTAAGCTTAACAGTGCTATTGGAGCTGCCAGTGACTTGAGTTCTGTAAAGCACATTTTTAAAATTTGTCTTGACACCCAGAAACCAGCAAGTGCCTGGTTTAACTTTAGATTACTGCAATACCTCAGTGTGACAAAGTGATGGGGAAGCTCCAGAACAGCAAGAAGACTGAGATAAAGCAAGGAAAAGGTGGCTGTCAAAGGAAGGGGCTAGTCTGCTTACACTGTAACTAACTAAATTAAATGTCATGGCTTGGTGAGAAGGGAAAGTCAAACTAAGGCAACGTTTTACTTTTTGAGATACTTCACTTTGACCAGTCCTTGATTCCTTTAATTAGATTGATTGTCTGCCTGCTGGCCTTCAGTAGCAAAGTTTTCATGCATATCTTCACTCAAGGCTATGAATTTTTTGTGTTCCTGTGGCCCAGTACTTCCCTGCCAGTGGTAGGTAAAATGCAATGTCTATCTTTAGGGAAACTGGGAAGGCCAGAATGCTTTATTCACTCTTGTATTTTTTTGTTTGTTTGTTTTGGGGTCTTTTGAGACAAAGATCAAACAGGTCTGCGTCATACAGGTATTACAGCTTCTTGTCTCACCAATGTGCAGTGTACTGCCTTCTTCCAAGTCTCCATTTTTTTGGTCAAATTTCCTAGTAGCTTATTCACATATCTAGTATCCATAGATCCCATGAATGAAAACTGTGAGAGTACATTAAAAGGCTATATTCGTATCACAGTACGTTTGTCCTGGTTTTGGCTGGGATAGAGTTAATTTTCTTTCTAGTAGCTGGGACAGTGCTGTGTTTTGGGTTCAATATGAGAAGAATGTTGATAAGACACAGTCAGCTCATGCCCAGCCAGCAAGAAGGCTGGAGGGGCACAAGAAGGTGGGAGGGGACACAGCCAGGACAGCTGACCCAAACTGGCCAAAGGGGTATTCCATACCATGTGACGACATGCCCAGTATATAAACTGGGGGTAGTTGGCCTGGGCGGTTTGCTGCTTGGGAACTAACTGGGCATCAGTCGGCAAGTGGTGAGCAATTGCATTGTGCATCACTTGTTTTGTATATTCCAATCCTTTTATTATTATTGTTATTACCAATATTAATTTCTTCCTTTCTGTTCTGTTAAACTGTTCTTATCTCAACCCACGAGTTTTACTTTTTTTTTCCTGATTATCTCCCCCGTCCCACTGAGATGGGGGGGTGGTGAGTGAGTGGCTGCATGGTGCTTAGTTACTGGCTGGGGTTAAGCCACGACAATGTTCTATACTGTGCTAGTGTTAATAGTTCATATACATAAGAGACTGTTCCTGATAAAGTTTGTTTTGTTTTGTTGTTTGCTCCATGCTTGATTCATGAACTAAGGCTCCTCGTGTTCCCAATCTTCCATAATTTTTTGTGTTAGAGAGTGCATGTCTGTGTCTTACCTTTAGAATCCTTTTAATATAGATAATAGCGTTGATGAGATCAGTTAGGAAAAGATCACAGTGTGTTACCGTGAATGTTAATTACAGTATTTTAAAGGTAGGTGGAAGAATTGAAGATTTCTGCAGTTGTTCTCATGCTGCCTTGGTGTTTTGTTTCTCTGGCCTTTTTCTTCCTTCTTGTCCCCACAATCAATGACAGATATGGGAATCCATAAAATCTGGAGCTGCTCTTGAAAACCCTCTGCTCTTGAACAGGTTCCTGCTGCTGACATTCGCAGTGAGTAATGATATGTCTCATACTTACAGCATTGTAGTGGAAATGATGAAGTAGTTTCTTTTAAGGGGAAATGCTGTATTAGTATTAGCACATTGAATGTTATCAGGATCATTCTCAGACATCTTAAAATGTCTGAAAACATTTAAAAAAAACCTAGTAAGCCATTCTTATGTACAGATAAAAAATATTTTAGGATGCATTCTTTAAAAAATGCTGGTGCCATCTCATATTCTTTTCTACAAATGTATAAGATCATCAGATGGCCTTATTGATACTAGTAAAAATAGAGTAACTGTTTCATATTTAACAAACTGAAAGTTTTAATAAATAATGCTCCAGCTAACAAAAACGGAAGTATTGTACACACATTCACTGTTTAATTCTTAAATAAAACCAAATACAGAGAAGGGAAGTCTTCTGGTATTTTTTATTTTCTAAAATCATGACACAGTCCCTTGTGAAGAGAACTATGGTTAGTATCATCAACCATCAATTATGATTAGTATTCCAAACCATAATTTACTTTCGTTTATATCCTCTTTATCTAATTTTACAAAATTTTTTTTCTAGGATCTAAAAAAGTATCATTTCTATTACTGGTTTTGCTACCCTGCTCTCTGCTTCCCTGATGGAATACATATAATTCAGAAACCAGTGTGTCTTGGTGACAGATTCACATTAAGTCAGGTATTCAAAATACTGTTATGAAGTCTGTAGCACTAAGTGGTTTTGCGAGCTGTAAAATGTAGTATTTTTGATAGCATATATTGAATTAATTTGAGAATCTAATTTCTTTTTCTTATTTCCATGTGGGTTTTTTGTTTACCTCTTTTTTGTTGTTGTTGTTATTGTATAAAATCTCTCAGCTTAACATAACTTCAGCTTTATTCATTTCGATGCAAATGTGGCAAACAATTCTTGAAGAGCTGGTTATGTTCAGTTTAATTTTTATATACAGCTTATTGAATATATAGCTATGTTTTTGAAACTCATATTTTTAAGAAACTTTTTTAAAGCAGCATCCCCTGGCAGAGCTAAGTCATTAGCAATTACAAAATTGTTAATAAAACGCATGATTGGACCAGAAAAAGAAGTGGATAGGGAAGACTTTTTCTTTAGGAGGAAAGTTAACAACTTTATGTAGTTTCTTTCATATTACAATGGAAAAGGACAAAAAGAATCAAGTTGCCCACATGTGCCTTTTTGCTTTGACAGAAGTTAATGGAAAACCTTGAATGGCTTTTTAATGGCATAATAATCAATGAGAAATAGTTTGGGGCTTTTCAGTGGAAAAAATACTTAGTTCCCTTCTTCTCAGAAGACCTTCGTTAGTTCTGTGGTAATAAATAGTATAAAAATACCTGTCATGATCTAAAGAGAGTTTCAACTAAACAATGAAAATAGGTATAACAAAATAAATTGAATGGTACTCTGTTCTTTTGCTAGTAATAGAGGGACAGATTTACTTTCTTATACAGCTACTGTGACTATCAGAATGAGGGTTTTATCTGGTTTAATTTCTATTGGTAGATCAGTTTGTGACAGCAACAGCAGTGCTCCTGTTTAAATTTGCATTGACAAATGCTGTTTTAGCAACTGAATTTTTGACCTCTGTTATTATGGTCATAATGGGCTTCAAAACTTCTGAATATGCTATATTCTAAGATTGAGTGAACTAGCCTTCCCAGATGCTAAAACACTTTCTGTGGTTCTGTATAAGATTATTAAAACTGTTCGTTACTGTTGTCTTTTTGCTTTTAGATTCAAGCACTTCAGAAAGCATATGATGAGCTTTGCCACAAAGAGGGGGTTACAGCTTTGCCTTATTTTTTAATCAAGTATCATGACAATTCTGTCGTGATATCTCCACTGAAAAGGTGGGATGGTTTCTTTCAAGACCAAGGGGGAAAGGTAATGAGAATTTTATGTCTTTTTATAACCTACAAATGTTTAATTTACAAATCGTTTGAAAAACATCTATAATACTGAGCTGGGCACAATGGTTGGCCAATGCATAGACTGGGTAAATAGCTGAAGACCAGCAGCTTGGATTGATTTTTGTGTCGAGTTAAGCTTCTCTAGTAGTTCTTACACAAAAGCCCGGTTACGTCAGATTAACAGTCAGCTTGAAAAAAAGGTTCTTCATGCTCTCATTATCAAAACAGAAACAACATAAGTTTATGAGTTAGCGTAACAATTAAAAGTTTTCCAACCACTTTACCTACAATGCTGTAATAACACAAAACACTTCTTTTATTGTTTGTGTACTAAAAATTGGTACTCATATTTTATGTATATGTTGGTTGTGGTAACAGTAATCGGGGAATACTACATGGGAGTTTTCAACTTTCAGCGTGTGTTTTGCAGCACGTACATGTTATAACATGAGAGCTTGGGATAAAAATTGCTGGGAATCTGTATATGAAGAATGTTCAAGGTCATGCTTTGTAATTTTGGAAGATAGATGGGTTGTGCACCAGAAGAGGCTGGGATGTTTTTTCTGTTAAATGCAGAGACCATGCATGTCCTTTAAGCATAAAGTGAGTACTGTCCATTGCTTTCAGTTAGGGAAGAATTATAATGATTCATGAAGCAGATGTCATCACAGCAAGAGTTGACTTGCTTGATTGGCTTGTGTTTATGTACACTGAATTCTGTTTTGGATCATGTTGCTCAGCTGCTGAACTTTGCTAGGCCTTTCTAAATGCTTTACTGTCTTTATTTTTGGTGAACTTCAAACTTTTTTTTTATTTTGCTTGTCATTGAAGTGTTAGGAAACAAAACTGAATTATGGTGAAGAGGTAAGAAGTGCAAAAAAGTTGTTTCGGGGTTTTTTTTAGGAGGTCTTGTCACACCTTATAAAAGTAATTTAGTTCTGTTTTATAATACTTGATCTTCAATTATTTTTTTGCCTTTCCAAATTTCTTTTTCTGAAGTTAAGACCTAGGACTGCAGTTCTTTATAAAATCAGAATGTGAAGGTTGAGATTTTAAATCGCAGTATAACTACAATAATGGGTCACAGATAAGAGTATACTGAATTATATAGGGACATTGTCAATATGAGTGAAATCTGTCATCATCTGGAATATATTTCTTCATTAGCATTCACTTTGGACGGAAGTGCCAAAATTTTAGACCTGTCGGATAAGATTCATTGCATCAATACTCTACTGCCTGTAGAGTTTGTATTTCGGTGAGCCAACAGAACTTGCTCCCCTGGAAGAAAAATATGTTTTTGCTGCTGCTGAGTTAATTTTCTGCTAGTTTATGAAACTGAATCAGCTTACTAAGGGGTCTTATGCCTGCTTGAGTCAGCAGTTGCAAAGCAGCAGCAGTGTACAGCTGGGAGGAGAGATGGGGAGTGGGCCCCTGTTTTTCCTACCTGCATCCATTAGATTGGCTCATCTGCATTTCACACTGTTCTAGGGACACCTCACTGATGTGGTAGAGTTGAGACTAGTCACTCTAAGTCCATCTATAGGCAAAGAAGCAGGAGGGAAGAGCTCTATAGATGTGAGACACAGGTATCACTAGTGATGGCCGAGTTCAGATTTTCAGCATATCTAACGGTAGGCAGTGGCATCTTTCTAATCTCCGGATGTGTTTTGGTTCTGCATTGACTGTGAAGTAAGCTCCTAGTTTAGGTATCTCAGTTATGAGCATGGTATTACAGTGCTTGAACATGAGACAGAACGTCCAGTTCCTTTATTTAGATCCCGTCCTCAAGGTTGGCTTTACAAGTGATTTTTATGCTGTTTTTCCATTGACTTGACATCTTGCTGGCCTGTCTGCTTTCACTTTTTGATAATACCCAAATCAATATAGAATTTTGTTTTGAGAGCAAGGCTTCAGTTGTTGGGCTTCTCCCATAATGGTGTGTTTAAGGAAGGTGCACATATTGTAGTGAAAAATGAATGTCCATAAAGAGGCTGAACTGAACAAATCTCAAAGCTGTGGCAAATGCTTGAGTGAAATCTAATGTGACCATGTATTAAACATTTCTAAATATGTAAAATGTGTGTGTAGGCCTTCTCTGTCCAGAAGTTTTACATTAAAAATGCCAGATAAATTTTACTGTGAACTGAATACCAGTATGAATAGATGACTTCTCATTTAGAGCAAATTTATTTGCAGGTGGCAGTTGGAGTTTATGATCCATGTAATTTATCCCACTATCCAGGATGGCCACTGAGAAATTTCCTGATCCTGGCAGCCCATAAATGGTATCTATTTTATTCTTTCCCACAAAGGTTATTTATTGGTTGATATCAAATTAGGCATTTTTCCTCCCATGGCAGTTTACTCCTATCATCCACCTGAGCTTTAACTTTTATCTTTTACATGACTCACCTTCAATGATTCTGATTTTGCATGTTATTCTGTTTTTTATTCTGTCAGTTACAAGTTCCTATTATTCCTAATCCTCACATGCATGCGTGTACCTGGAAATACATGCTTCAGACCCTGCCAATACCTTCTAGCTGTTTCAAATCTTGCTTAAAGTATTCTATGATTTTATATAATCAATTAGTGCCAAGTAATAGCAGACCTAAATTTTGAAGATCAGATACTCTTAGCTTTTCTTTTAGTGTACCTTCCTGAATTTTTCGTTGGGCAGAAATTGGGAAGAGAGGACATGGTTTTACACTCTGGTATTTGAAAAAAAAGTATCATTTAAAGTATCAAATAAATTTGTGTTGCTGTAACAAAAATGTAATTAAGTTGCATTTTCACAGTTTGACTTTTACATTTTATTACACAGCAGGGAGAAGAAATGCTCAGTTAGCTATGGTGTTTTTTGGGTTGCTAGCTGAACAGTAGCGTAGAAGGATGTGTAAGTGCCCAGGGAGCTTTACACATTCTAATATTAAGAGATTTTTAGGCACTAAAGTTCTAATTGTTTGATTTGGGGGTTTGAATCATAAGGAGGAAAAATGATACTATATTGAGAGCTAAGAGGATCTGGCTTGTGCCATGGCAAAGTACATCATGTCACCTGATCTGTGCTCTAGTGCTTCCCTGCTTTTTATTCCTCTAAATATGCAGTTTGTCCAGCAGCATTGTATAAATGACAGAGGACAGACTGACAGTGTCATTTCTTTAGAGCTGTTTCACAACAAAGTCATTTTCGCATACTAAGCGATTGTTTTTATTTATACCTGATGAGAACAACAGTGTTCCAGTACTAACAGAAAAAGCCTTATTCAGAATCTGCAAGAGACTAAACCTGTGTGAAATGGTGTTTAAAAGAAGTCTGTTTCTATTAAAGAAGTTGCATGTCTCTCTCTATTTATCTTTTTTTCAAATGGCAGGGGCAGCCTTCTCCAGTCAGTTGAAGTGCTCTGCTTCAGAGATAGGACCATGCAAGGGGTGAGAGACGTAACACACAGCATTATCTTTGAAATAAAACTTCCAGAGAGAGCCCTTGGCCCAGGTAATCAATTTAAAAAAAAAGAAGTTCTTTCCCATTTTTTTTTCTCCCACCTCAATCACTGTGAAGATGGAAAAAATAAAATAATACTACTAAATCATTACTTATGCTAAGTTATTTCAAATGGATTTAAAATTGTTTGAATTTCGGTTAAACATCTATAAAGGAAATGGTTCCTTCTTCAAAAAAGAAAGAAGAGAGCATATTCTCTTTTAATTTTTCCCTCCTTAAATTGTGTTTCTGATTTAAAAAAGAGGAGTCGTCCACCTGGTGTCATATGTAATACAAAATCCAGGCAATTAGCAATTAGTCTTTTTTTTCTTGTTAAATTTGGATGCAGTCCCTCAACTAGAAAAAAATGCATATGGTAGTGAATTTATGAGATGCAAGCTTTCTCTACATTTCTAAAATGGTAGAAGCCTGCTACAGAGTGGAATTTTTTCTTCAATTTCTACACTACCTATAGTGAGGTACGCAGATGTATTTTAAAGCAATAAATTTATAATGTTAGAACATAATCTCAGGCTTGATTTCTCTGTACAGGACAGTATCACAAAATTTCTCAACCTCATCCAAGAAGTTCTGAATGCTTTATGGATTATTGCTGTGGATTGTTTGATTATTATATAATTAGAATATATAATTATCTACTGAATTTATAGATGGGGTCTAGGGAACATGAAGAGATGATTGAACTTGGCAAAATTTACTAAGTTCTGAATTATGAGTTTATTGAGTTCTGAACATAGCAGTCTGACATTAAAGATCTGGAGGCTTGATGAGGAATGATGCCATCTCTGTCCTAGGTTTGAAGCAAGCTGAACAGGCAAAAGCAGCACATAACAACTTGAGAGTAAAGCATTTCTCCAAGAAGCAGTGCTTTCAGCTGATGTAAACCAGCAAAATTTGTATAGCAATATATACTAGGTTGTTAAGATACAAATTATTTACTTACAGGTTTAGAATTTGTTTGGTTTTCTCCAACAAGGTTAAATCCAACAAGATTTCTTTTTTCTATCCTGTGATATTAAGGCTTTCATTCTTACTTTCCTTCTTTCTTCCTTTTTTTTAATGTGTCAAACAGATTGTCCAAAAGCTGTTGGATGGGAGAAGAACCAAAAGGGAGGCATGGGTCCAAGGATGGTGAATCTCAGTGAATGCATGGATCCAAAAAGGTTTGTTTATTATCTTTTAAATTTCTGTAGTTTTCTGTACTTGGGCTTAAGCTGTAACAAGTTGAAATGTGAAATGCAAGGACTATCTGTCTCTGTTACGTAAGAATATACAGTAACACATATACTGTGTATTGTTTGGACAGTCCTATTGCAGGTAAGGACCTTAATAGAGCAAAGTGCACCGCATGCAGCGGAAATATTTGCAGTTTTTGACTCTAACTTAGAATTTCTTATGCATTCTGTTTAAAACTGAGTGGAATGTAGGTCATAGTGTTACAGGCCTGTGGTTTTCACTGAATTCTATAATATGCAGATTGTTAAATATGATGAAAATAAGCACAGGGAAAAGTTCAACCTTTTGGAATTGTTAGGGTGTGACAGGAAAGAGCTCAGGAAACATGACCTTATTAATTTTTATCATTCTGCCCATAATATACGGGCAATAGATTGAAAACAGTCTAGTTAGCCTGTTGGCTCATCTGCTTTCACTGACTACATGTGTGTTCTTGATTTTGAAACACTGTAAGAGTGTGTTGATCTAATGACTTAGGTTAACATATTTTACCTATGAAGCTAAGCCATTTTTGACTTGCAACTGTAGCGATTCACAGTATGTTCATAGACATTAGAGAAGGTTCATCTGAGGGCTCTTAATTCTTTAAGTAAATATAACTTGACCTTCTTTACTTGTATGCATGCTCACTTCTGTTAATTCCCACAGAGACTGTTGGTAACATGCCAGCCTTGGCAATTGTGATCTTAAATCCTTGTTGAACAAATAAGTTACTGCATACTGCAAAAGTTATATTTATGATGTATAAGGGAATGAAACTGTCAGGAATCTGAGAACTGTGATGACCTGACTTGATGAGAGATTTAACACCCTGTGTTGTGATGAATACAAAAATCTGACACTAGATAGAGCATGGATTCCCTACCTCGTTTTCCTTTTAAAACTTCCACAAAGAATTGACCACATTCTTTAGGGGGCAAGTGTAGTATTTCATGTTAAGGACAGATGTAACTGGATACAGGAAACCAGTTAATTTGAAAAAGAAACAAAAGTTTATGAACAAATGGTCTGTGTCTTATCACTCAGCTTAACAGGAATCTTGGCTGAGACACTGTTTCTATTTTCACGCTTGCATCAATTTTGTTACTAAAATTTTAATTTTGGATTGTTGCCTTTTTCAGAAGCCCTTAGAGACTTGTTCCAATTCCTAAGGAAGTATGTGGCTTTAGCAGATTTTTTTTTACAGCAAGTCCAGAGTGGCTAGCTGACACCTTTTCTGTATATCCTAGCTTTTGAAAGAGAATGCTTTCTTAGCAAAATTTCGTGGTTAATAACCATCTTGTAAAATGTCTGCAAACTATTTTTTTTTAAACTTCCACTTTACTAGCTATCTTTCTACTCTTGTTTCAGTAGTGATTTACTCTTCTGGTTTTTAGCAGTGAAGTCTCAGCTTTTATAAGAATGTTAATTAGCAGTGGTCAGCCAACACATTGGTTACAAGAGGAGGTTACAAGGAAATTTAATATCAGGAACTGTGTGTGTATTTATATAGAATGACGTTTGGCATCTTCTGTTTGCATGTTTTTCCTGTGTGTCTGGCAGAATGGTTAAAAATTTATGGTTAGAAGAACGTACTACATGGGTCACAACTGAACAAGCAGCATAAAAAAAGTTTTTTGCGATCACCTTGTTATTAGGTGGACCTATGCTTGGAGGACTTTGGTTTTTGTATTACCTATATGTTGAATTGTTGAACTCTTTCTCCTTTAAAAAAAAAATTGAACTTCTTCAGTTGAAATAAAAAATAATTGCTTTGTTAGAGAAACACAACATTGAGAAGGGTGTTGCTGTTTATTTCATGTTATAGGTTAGCAGAATCATCAGTGGATCTTAATTTGAAATTGATGTGCTGGCGGTTGGTGCCTACTCTTGATTTGGAAAAAATTGTGTCTGCCAAGTGTCTGCTGCTAGGAGCTGGTACACTGGGTTGTAGTGTTGCAAGGACTTTGATGGTAAGTCCTGAGTTAATCTTAAAAAAAGTCTGCTGTTCCTTGTAAATTCTATATGATTTTTTTTTTTGTCCCAGTGGCTGCCATGGCACATAAGAGAAAAGTTGTATTCCTCTGTATTAAAGTACACATGATACATATTACTTGATATTATAAATTGCAGGGAAGAGGGAAGATCTGTAACCAATGGAAATAGCTTGAAGTTCTGCTAGTAGTAGAATAGTAGGTAGTAAGAGAACCTTAGCAGAATAGTAATTTTTTTTTTTTAATTTACATAGAAAAAGATTGAACAAGAAATTCTGGAACAAACTAATGAGCTAATAAGATCAAATTCACAGTGAAGCACTTGAAGTAAGTAACTGTGCTGATATTTGCTTTCAGGGATGTTTACCACATCCCACTTAATTCAGTAGGGCTGTGAGGGATTACTGTTAAATGATATATCTGGACAGACCAAATTTTCTGTTCTCTTATTTCAGTGCAAGTACAAGGTTGTTGCTGTGAATAGCTTCAAAAGCTTTTGTAGCTTGATCTTTCTAGAAAAACTGGACAAAACTCCTCTTGAGTTTCTGACATTACTCAAAAGTATATGGCTAAGCCTGTTGTACTTATCATTATTCAAATTACTTTCTTGTTTAGGGTTGGGGAGTCAGGAAGATTACATTTGTGGACAATGCAAAGATCTCTTACTCCAACCCAGTACGACAGCCACTGTATGAGTTTGAAGACTGTCTTAGTGGGGGGAAGCCAAAGGCACTTGCAGCAGCAGACAGGCTACAGAAAATCTTCCCAGGAGTGGTAAGATCAGTATTTAAAATGTGTTAATATGTTCCTTGGAAGAGAAGCAGCAACTTTAAGTATCCAGTCCAAGTTCTAGTAATTAAGCATTATTATGAGTGGGGAAAATATTACACAGGTGTTATGTTGGTTACTGAGAAATCTATAAGCATTTTACTTCAAGTACTCTGTACCTGTTAAACTTTATTGAGACAATAAATATTTGTAATAATGAAATATATTTGAGGATCATCTGAATCATCTTGTAGATCACTGATGGTGAAGTAAAATTTTTTCCTGTCTAGTACATCCTAAGGAACTTTAAGTAATGGCTGCTTTTAAGACTGTGCTTTCCCACTCTGCTCTTAAATGTGAGTTTAGACACATTAGTTGTCTATTATGGGAGCAGAAGGTCTTGAATGCATTAATAAATGTATTGTTGAGATTTCCTACCCAAAACTTCCAATCTTATTTAAGTTGATTTTCTACATTAGAGGAAAATAACTTAATTTTTAACTTCCAGAAAAGGGAAGTAGTTCATAGAAGCCTGGAAAAGATATCAGTGTTGGCCTTAGTCAAGTTGGTACTTGACTAAAGTACTCCTCTTTTGGGGAGCCTGGTGGTAATAACTTACTATCAAAATGAAGTAGTTGAAAGGGAACAAAAGACAAGAACAAATTTTTATGTTGGTTTAGAAGCTTTATGATGAGAGACCCACCAATGGCAGTGTTTATCATCTTTGACTCCAGAGATGTGCATCTGTCGTGGTTTAACCCCAGCCAGCAACCAGGCACCACGCAGCTGCTCGCTCACTCCACCTCCACCCAGTGGGATGGGGGAGAAAATTGGGAAAAGAACTAAAACTCGTGGGTTGAGATAAGCACAGTTTACTAGAACAGAAAGGAAGAAACTAATAATGATAATGATAACACTTATAAAATGACAACAGGAATAATAAAAGGATTGGAATATATAACTGAAGCACAGTGCAATTGCTTGCCACCCGCTGATCAACGCCCAGTTAGTGCCCAAGTGGCGATCCCCCCGCCCCCACTCCCCCCGGTTCCTATACTAGATGGGACGTCACATGGTATGGAATACCCTGTTGGCCACTTTGGGTCAGGTGCCCTGGCTGTGTCCTGTGCCAACTTCTCGTGTCCCTCCAGCTTTCTCGCTGGCTGGGCATGAGAAGCTGAAAAATCCTTGACTTTAGACTAAACACTACTTAGCAACAACTGAAAACATCAGTGTTATCAAATTCTTCTCCTACTGAATTCAAAACATAGCACTGTACCAGCTACTAGGAAGACAGTTAACTCTATCCCAGCTGAAACCAGGACAGCATCATATGAACATTATTCAGTGCATATGCTCAAACACACCTCATTTTCAATGCTGAAAAAAAGTAAATTTAAAGAAACCCTTACAAATATTTGCAGTTCTCAGCTTCAGTCTTAATTTGGGGGAAGAATTGATATGGCCTATAATTTCAGAATAGACATGCTCTCAGCTTGCTCTGTCATGAACAAAATTTTTTTTATACTCATTTGGCACATGATAGAAGTCATTCAACTGTTTATAGTTTTTGTTTTGGAATTGAGACTGTCTTAGAATTGGTAGCTGTGTTTACCAGAGCTCAGCTGGCAAACAGTATCTTAACCACTTAGTGTAGTAAGAATGAGTTATATACACTTACTATGCAATTCTGTATTTAAAATGCCACTGATTATGTTACTAGTCATAATATTATTAAGAGTTATGAACAGTGGAATATAGATTATGTTGTTGATGATCAGTGTTGTGAACAAACTTTACAGAAGATTGTTTCTAAACATTATTAGGTTCATTTAGTTTGACCCAAAGATTGCTCTGTGCTTTTGTTCTGGTTTTATCTGTGTTGGTCCTATTATTGTCATTATTTATGATATCAATATTGGTACTGAGTAGTAATTAAATGAATATTTGAACATCAAACAATGATCCCTAGTATGAAAAAATGCTAAACATTTCGCTTTCAGAACTTTGGATAAGTAAATCAGAAGAGACTCTCTGAAAGTTCCTAGAATTTTATTTAACCTTGCTGCACTGTAGTGTTACTGTTACTTGGTGATATTCACTTAGTTATAGAAATATTAGTTAGTAGAACAAGTACAGAAAAGAGAGCATCTGTGCGGTGTCACACAGAGAACCAACATGATGCTAACTAAGATTTGTGTCACATGATTTCTCGCTTTATAAACTTGAGAAAATGAAAACAGGAATATTAAGAAAGAATGAGTAGTTTAATTAGAAGGAATAAAAGCTGTTGTGGAATCCTGAATGATACAGTTTTGCATGTAGAGATAAAGATCGAAAGTTAGTGTTATGAGTTTTCTTGTTAGAAATAACCAAGAAAACAAAAGACCAGGCTGTACTATGGAATTTTGAGATTTTGAGGGGGCTTTAAAAAAAAAAAAAAAAAAAAAAGCTAAATATAATCTGGAGAGGAGCTTCCTGTAATAAGGGGGAACAAATAACAGTGCTTTAGTGAGCCTGTATCTATAAATATTAGGACATTTGGTGTACATAGGAAAAAAACAATTTTCCTGTTCAGTAATAGCAGATACAATGTGCAACCCATACTGCATGTAAGGAATTTTTCCTCTACCACATGCCGCAAATTTTCTGCATCTACCACTGTTTTCTTAGCACATTATCCCCATCAGTGTTACACATTCTCTATTGTTTCCTCGTGCCATGGATGGGTCACTTTTGATCAGCCTTTAGTGGGACTCAGACCTAGTTTCACAGCTTTGTGGCACAAATGAGGAGAAAGCAGTTGCAGAGATCCTGTGTACTCTTATGATAGAATGTTTCTAATATATTTTTCGGTCAAACTAATTTCTGCACTAGAATGGAGAAGAGGTATCATGTTTGACCATCAGTAAACGTACAGAGAAACAACATGCTAGCATTAGCAAGAATTAACAGAGCTTAACAGTAAAAACTCTGGTTCAAACAGTTAATATGCTGACAGCATGTCAGAGTGGTGAGGTTTAAGCAGCAGGCCAAGCACATGGACTAACAGAAAGTCTTTAATTAGCCTTGGTAAAGTCTTGGTGCTTTGGGATGGTTTGGACAGTGAAGCTACTGTAGCTGGAGATTTTGATAACCCAGCTGACTTTACCAGACTTCTCAAAATGGAGCTGTGTCTGTTACTGCAGACTGCACTGTTGCTTGATACCAAACCCCATATTTATCAGTATAAACGTCTTTGAATAAAAAGATTAGTTGTCCTGGATTTTGAGCCTCCTCCTCTCTCTCATACGGAAGGAGTAGCCAAAGCTGTCTCTTTCTGTTTGGAAACCAACAGAGTCCTTTCAAGCCTGCGGGAATCCAAGCAGTAGTGCTGGTTCTGAAAGCATTTCTGAAAATTAGTTTTTTCGTTTCACTTACAGTCTAATTTACTTTCTTTGATTTCAATGTGAGTAATATTTTGTACACAAAATGCAGTTTCTCCTGGTTGACTTTGAAATGCTTGACTGATCTATGTGAATTCTTTTTTATTTTTTTAATTTTACATCCTTTCTAGTTGGAAGAGTAACGACTTCATCATTGCAAATGAAATGAAGGAATGCTTTGGCAAGGAGCTTTGATTTGTTTCATTCCACTTCTAAAAGATTATCATTAGCTGTAGCTTAGAGTTTTATAATAAAAAAGAAGGGAGGACTCAGAAATAGCAGAGTTTACGGATTCACAGCCTTTCATTGCAAGTAGGTAATGCGCATAGTCATTCATATAACTGCTGTGGAATTTAACTTTATTGACTCTCTTACACAATCATTTTCTGAAGTATTCAGGCATGCAACTGCAGTGTATTCAGCATTTTATCATCCTTTATACTATACTGCATGGGGGGCCACTTCATGTAGGTATTTCCAATAGAACAATTTAATGATGGCAGCATCACATTTCTTAATTTTCTGTGTACTTACCCATGGCACACTTCTGGTCAGGTTTAATATATTTTGCACAGATAACTTCTAAGTGATCAGAGCCATGGTTTAACAAAAAATGCAATTAATAGAAATGAGAATAAAATGGAGAGAGAAGGTTATGGTAGCACCACAAATTGCAATATTTTGATGTCTGTTTGCTTTAAAAAAAAAAACCAAAGCAAAAGCACTGGACCCTCAAGCACAGCTTTGGTCAGCTGTCAAATGAAAGTGTTGAAAAGTGCATTATCTTTTATGATTTTGCACATGTCAACATACAGTCCCTTTTTTTAGTAAGTACATGATTCTGTACTTTATCAGATAGTAACTAAATATTATTTTGTTTTGGATAATTTGGAGGCATTTAAAATCTTTTGTTAGTATGAAGGTTCCAGTCTTAAAATCTAAGCCTTTTTGCGAACAGTCAAGCAAAATTCTTGTCATGTAGAGACTCCTTGAGATTTTGGAATTCTGTGGAATGAACAAGATCTGTGTTTGGGAATATATGCACATTTATTTCTCCTTAAAATAATATGCATGTGCCATCACAAGGTACCTTTTTAGCTCTCTTTGCCAGTGTTTGCCTGCAAAAGTGTACGTCGGTCACTTTTGCTAGTGACTGGTGTCTTTTTTTCAAGGGACAGTTATTCAAATAAAATTGAAGCTATTGAAACTGCTAGACTTGTGTGTATTCCTACAGCTACAGTCACTGGACAGAGTTTTTTTCTGAATTCTGGTAGGATTTTAGTATTTTACAAACCTTGTTACCATATTTCCATGCAGCTAGTGTTCAACTTTACTTGTTTACTTATTTTGGTTTTTTGAACAAAAATCGGCCTCCTAAGTCACCGACAGGGTCAGTTATGCTTATCTGATAAATCAGCACTTGTATGCAGTACAGGGGCTTGATGAGTTATGCATAAATACATTACTTATATACAGCATGGATTAAGTTTTGTGTTCCTGACACAGCTTTTTGGAGGACATAATGACAGTGCATGTAAAACCTCCTCCAGTAATTACCCAATGTCTGTGCTGGTGATGCAGAGCTGTCTTCACTGAGAAACAGTTACTGTTAACAGTATACTAGATCACTGTGGACTCTACATTTTTTCCCCTTGGAGGTGGGAGGCGGGGGGAAGAAGGGGGTGGGAGGGAAAGGTGCATCATTTGGTATGGTTAATCCAGGTATTACCCAAATTCATTTCCCCAAGCTGCTATATGTGTCTATTTCTTTCTGTCTTCAAGGATTCATGATGTTTAGAATGTATACTTCACCATTCTGGTTATTTGGCTCACCTGGATTTATGAGTTGTGCGTGCAATTGGCCTATACAAAAGCATGTTCCACCAACCTTCCTTTCCTCTCTTGTCATGTAATTTTATGTTTGGTTCATCTAGCTTTTAAATTTTGGCTTTTAAATTGTTAGTTGCTTACAGCACAGTGACAAGCATGAGACTTTGGCAAGGCCTATGCTTCTGTAACATATATGAAGGCTCCATTATTCTCTTAGAGCAGATGGCTGACAGATTGTGTTAATATATTTCCAAATGAGTGAGTTAATTGTTTGCATTGTATATGTATTGTGTATGTGCTTATTTGGCTCTTTAGCCATTTTCTGCTCCATATGCCTTGCCCAAATATGGAGCTGGAAGAGGCATATGTTTCTGCAATAGGACCAAGCTCTTTCAGCATCTGCATAGTGCAAGCCTCTAGACATCCATGCACTGGAGTAACAAGTCTCAGAAGTGATTTTCTTCTATATCAAGTTCACATATGGCTGGTCAAATTACATAAAAATCATTCGAGACTATTGTTCTTCTCATAAAGAATTTAAAACAAAGGAGAATGTGTGATACTTCACATCTGTCTTACTGTAATTGAATCAATATTCAATATCAGAATAAATGACATCCTATTAACATTGTGTGTGAAGTGGCTGCAAAGATAATCCAGGACAAAGGTTTTCTATAAGTTTAACAGCATGATCATAATCATATGTAAAATCTGCCTGCTTGCTTTTGTAGTGATGTTTGTAACCTCTGGGATTAGGAGCAGTTCAGCTGTCTTCTTTTAGTGATTTGCCAGACCTAATAAGACCTTCTGAGAGACTGGGCTTGTTAGTTCAGGTACCGAGCCACCTGATCGTGGTTGGTCTGCTCTCATGACCCAAACTAGTGAGTCTGCATTGAGCTGCTCTGTTCTGAATAAATATAGCAGCTGAGACTGCTATTCCCTCAGAAACTTTAACACTGTGCTTTAGTGCACAGCACTGATATACACAGAGATGTAAAGAATAAACTTGCCATTCTGCCAAACAGTAATTGAATTTGTACTCTACAGTTTTGTATTGAACTTTAGAATAATTCCATTCAGTGACAAGGTTATCTTTTTAATATCTTGTTTTCTGTCTGTCTCCATCTAGAGTTCAGAAGGCTATAACATGAGCATCCCTATGCCAGGCCACCCAGTGAATTTTTCTGAAGTAACAATGGCACAGGCTCGGAAGGATGTGGCTAAACTTGAAGAGCTGATTGATGCTCATGATGTTGTTTTCCTACTAATGGACACTAGAGAGAGTCGATGGCTTCCTGCTGTCATTGCAGCCAGCAAGAGGAAGGTATTGTACCATACCTTGCTGATATCCTTGTCACTGTATTTCAGCTCTTGCATATCAGCCAGCTATGTATACCTAAAAGAACTTCATGGGAAATTGAAATATTTGACCAATCTTTTGTGATTGTGCAGAAATTTTTTCTTTTTTTCTGTAGCCTCAAAGATTCTGTGTAAGACAGAAAGCAAATGTCGAAAAGAGGGCATAGAAACTTGTATCATAGAATGATGTAGGTTGAAAAAGACCTCTGGAGGTGATCTGGTCCAACTCCCTGTTCAAAATAGGGCCAACTTACAGCATGTTGCTTAGGCTGTTGTCTGGTCAGTATCTTTTGAGCATCTCCAAGGGTACATATTTCACAGTAATACTAAGAAATAATTTCATAGTAAGAGTATCATAATAAGGACTAAAGACATTACAGTAATGATTGACTGATAGGGGATGTCAGTTGTAGAAATTTATCTGAAACCACGTTTTCAAAATATATCTCAAAAGTGAAAAATTAGAAGCTGAATTCTGAACTTAAAGTATGCCAACACTTTTTTGGTTAAAAGTTAACTTTGGGTTTTTCCTCATTATCCTGAACACTTACTTCCCTTGCTATCATGATGTAGACTTTAGTAAAACAGTCTCAAGTAATCTTGATCTTTCTTAATTTATTTAAGAATTATGCAGTTTCATGTTTGCTCAGTTAAAATAGCACAAAATCAGAAAATGCAAGTATTAAGCTTTTAACATGTCAGCTTAACCACAGGGCACATCCTGTGTATTTTGTGGCATAAATGTAATGATGTCCATAGCAATTTGTTAAGTCATGAACTTAACATGAGAGTAAAAGAAAACATACATGTGACACAGCTGAGTCAATGTTGTTATGCGATCTTTGATTTTTGTATTTCCTCACTTCCGTGATTTTTCAGCTATGACAACTCTAGCTTCCTAATAGTTGTTAGTTGTTTGTGGTTTCTTTTGTTTGTGTTTATATTTATTTCCAAAAAAACTGGGCAGTAGAAAGGAGAGAGAATGCAGATTTGTGGTATTTGCAAACTAGTTTTGTCTTATAAATTCCAAGTATGTTCCCCTTTCTCCTGAAGTTTATGTTCATCTGAACTTAACTAAATTTCCTCTGTACCTGCATTGCAAGCAGATTTTTTCCAAATCAAAGAGTTCTCTCATTTTTTAAGCCAAGGTCTTAAATTATTTTATTTTCTTTCATTCTTTCCTTATTTAAAATAGATTTCTGATCCTGAGCAACAGGCTTGTATGTCTTTGTCGCTCACATGAACTTCCCTTTGCCAGTGAACTACACTGCCAGCGAAAAGATCAGTGTGTTCCTTTAGTGTGGACTTCACTGAAGTATAACTTCAGGTGTAACTGAGTGTATGTAACTTGATTACTTAATCAGTTCCTACTTTATCCTACTGTCTTTTCTGCAGTTTGCACCTGTGGTCTTTCAGCAATCTTTTAGCTGTTTAAAAACAGCACAGAAATGACATAAAAAGAGTAAGTTTGCAAAGCTGGGTATTGAAACTGGGAAGTGCCAGCTTACTCTTTCATATGTATGATGATTGGTAGTTGTAAGCAACATATGCAGTGCCCCCCCCCCGTCTGGTTCAGTCACGATAGCATTGTTTTAATGATTTCCAAAACTTTTACCCACACATTTGCTTAGCTAGCAGTCCCCCACTATATTTGCCTTACAGTATTCAAATCATCCTTTGAGGACAAATTTTGTAATTTCTTTGTGACAGCTCTCTGATATTCACTGGTATAGTGTGTCTGACTGCATCAGTTATTTGATTTTCATAAGATCACTTTGATGTAAGGAGATGGAATTCTCTGTCACTGAATAAGCACAGCACTGAAATCTCAAGGTGTCCAAACTGAAATGCTCGGTATCTGCTTTTCAATGTACTTCATGTTGATAAACATTTAATGAGAGCTCTACTTCAAATGTGAATTTGTATGACAACTGCAAATCTGAAGTACTGCTGCAGTTTGGACTCCAAAGTCTCAAAAGAGGCCCACAGAAAATGAAGAACATAGTGAGTCATAATCTGTGTAAAGTTCTCTATAAGGGGTACATGGGTAGAAGTAAGACTCGGTTTCCCCATGTAATCATTCAGTTACCTTGATGATCTTTGATATTCCTGGAGTCTTTCCTCCCAAAACAAGTATCTTAGACAAACGCAAAACTCAAATGTTAAATCCTTATGTCAGCTGTTAGTTCCCTGTTCCTGCTGAGCACTGGAACTTTTAAAATTTTGCTGGTTGGTTTTTTTTTTTTTTTAAACATGTGCCAGAAGATACACTTTTTCATAGTCTCTCTAACAAAAACAGATGATTTTTTAATTTTTTTTTTTTTTTATTAAGGGTCAATTGGTTAGATTCACATAGTTGCTGGACATTAAACCAAAGAGAGAGAAACAGTTTATTGCAGTGGGAAATGTTTAGCAGTATCATTAATTTCTGGTAAAACCAGCTGTGCCATGTTATTCATATTTTGCAAATGGGATACCATCTTCAGGTTTTACAGGTAGATGTAGTGAGAAGATGCAGTCTTTTAATTGTTTGCTGTAGACCTGGCTGTGCTACTACAGATTCAACAGCATGGTTCTACTTTAGGACTGAGGAAAGAATAAACCACAAGGTTGAAAGTGAATGTCCAGAAATTATTTGAAATACCAAGAATGATGATGAAGCTCACAAGCTTACTAGTTAAGTTGGCTAATTCTTGATGGCTTCCCTCAAAGTCCCTCTTTTAGATAATTCCTGGCTATAAGAATGAAAAATGACAAACTGCTGTACTAGAATTTCTATCTAAAATATCTGCATATGAAGCAGTATAATATCTTCTTTTATATTTTACTGGCTACAGTCATTATTGTATAATTGGTTTTGCTTTTTGCTGTATCTAAATCATTGCCTGTAAGTTTAGTAAAATATGCTAGTTTAAGTATCATTTTTTTGATATTACAGTCATAATATATATAGCTTCAGATTACTCCAAGCACTTGTCACAAACTGAAGAGAAAGGGGAAAATGATGATGGTGTAATTGTGTACCACAGCTGCTTGTGCTCCCCATGTGACTAAACAGATGCATATGAAGACCATAAGTAATCATTAATTGCTTTCCTCACTGAGCAGAAATTTTTTGGGGTAATAGACTTGCATTTCATTGCTTTGTCACACGGGAGTATTTAATGAGTTATATTTCAGACCACAGTGAACTGAAAAGACTACATAAGAATTTGAAATGACATGAAAACTTGTTATTGATGGCCACTGTTGTACTTAAATGTCACTTGGAATATTTCAGCACTTGGAGAATGTGAATATACAAAATATGCAGCAAACTTGAAAATAAATTCTGAGCTGGAACCAAAATAAGTTTTTTCCAATAACAATACTAATCACTGTATGAATATTGGGCCAAATTTGGATATATGGGTGTTAATTCATATCAGTGTGTAGCAGCTTCAGTAACTTTAGTGAGACATTGAATGTTAGTTGGTGTGAACCTAGCTTCAGATGTGAATTAGCACAACACATTTACGGAGTTCCTGTTTCTTTTTTTTTTTTGTTTGTTTTTTTGTCAGCAAGCCTGCATAGGTTTGTGTAACAGTTGAGAGGGAGTCATTAATTTGTATCAAATTTTCCTGAAAGACACACAAAAAGGTAATGGTTTGTGGATTTCTGAAATGGAATTTGGGGGGGGGGTGTGTTTGTTTTTTTTTTTTTTAAATGCTTGACAACTGGAATTTTGCACCTATTGGAAAGCCTGTTGTTTAGGTCTAGGGCGATAGATATGCAGTTAATAGGTTGTTTGTCCATCTGCAGCATGTGTGTGGGGGGGTTGACATTTACAGTGAACAAAACCTTGAGGCCTTTTTTTCTCCCTCTTCTTTTGGCTCCCTTAAAATCTGTTGTTCTCTCTTTATTCTTCACAGTTGGTCATCAATGCTGCATTGGGATTTGACACATTTGTTGTTATGAGACACGGACTAAAGAAACCAAAACAGCAAGAATCTGGTGATTCATGTTTCAACAATGCCTCTGGTTCTTCTGATCTTTTGGGATCATCACTCTTTTCAAATATCCCTGGCTATAAACTGGGTTGCTACTTCTGCAATGATGTTGTGGCACCAGGAGATGTGAGTAGAACCTTATGCAAATGAGGATTTTATATCTCTTTTGTAGTGACTTAAATTTTTATTTCCTTTAAATGGTGTTTCATAAAAGGATTTGTTTTCTCTTGATGTACACAGGATTAAGAAATAGCTCATCTTTTATTTGGAGGATCAAAGAAATTAATTGCACAAAACTAAAGATGTTTTGTGTAGTAGGGCAGCTAGTTACTTTTGAGTTACTTTTTTCTTTCCTTTAGAATTGTCTATTTTTGTAGTCCACCAGGGATCGGACATTGGATCAGCAGTGCACAGTCAGTCGGCCTGGATTAGCCATGGTAGCTGGAGCTCTTGCAGTGGAATTAATGGTTTCTGTTTTACAACATCCAGAAGGGTGAGTCATTTCTGGATTGGTGTTCAAAAGGTGTTCTCTGAGAAATAAGACTTATTTAATATAATCTTTTGGGAGGAGGAGGAGGAAGTACACATTAAGTAGGACAATTCTGTATGGTGTAATATTGCCTGTAAATTAATGTAATGTATAGGTCATATCTACTGTATTAGTGTAATTTAACAGTGTTTAAGAGAGAACTGATTCATCAGATCTTAAGTTTTTATCTTGGAAATTGGCAGTTTTCTCTCTTTCTGAGTTTAAAAGTAGAAAAGTACTGAGAATATTTCAAAAGAAGAAAGTATTCCTGATAGTGGATCTTGGCAGTCCTTTGCTCAAGAGAGTGTTTGAGTGTAATGAGGAGCTATCATAAGTGTGTATGTTACATGCAGGGCTTCAAGATAAGCCAAGTATTGTAAAATCTTAGTTAAAATTAAGTGGGTTTGATACAGAAATTAGTCTGAAATTCTGCAACTTGAAATTTAGGCTTGTTTCATGTTTTTAAAATCTGTGAAAGAAAAAGTGAGTTAGGAATTGGACATGAGTATGTTACAAGTCTCTGTGACTGATTCTGAAAAATGGTTTTTATATTCCCATGCTGAATCTTAGTTACTATGAAACAGACTTTCCGGATATGTTCCTTTCCAGACTCTAAACTGTAAGCTGTAACAAAATGTCTTGAAGCTTGCTGGAAATTTTGACTGTTGAGTATGTCATCTTGTTCTAATTTTCCTTCTTGGATTTTTGGCAGTGGTTATGCTGTGGCCAGCAGTAGTGACGATAGAATGAATGAGCCGCCTACTTCTCTTGGACTTGTTCCTCATCAGGTAAATAATTTGTGAGTAAATGCTGTTGTTTAAAAGCTGGGAACTGATATAAGGCAAACATCACAGACCGCCTCCTTAACAAGAACATACTGTATGCTGATTCCATTCCCGGAAGGACTGACTCTCCATGTTTGTTAAAAAAGAATATATATTAAAAAAAAAAATAAATCCATCACACAGGGCAAAGTAGTTGTGTTCCTGGCATTGTGTCTGTCCTACTTGTGGACACACAATTCCTGCTACCTACTTAGCAAGAATTTGTTTGGAGCAGGCAGTATATGAATAAGGCAACCTCTGACTTTTCTGTTCCCTATCAGAGCTGACAATATGAGCATCTCAAAATTTTTAAATCCCTTCCGAGTTCGAAAAAAAAATTCAAATCCAGCAAACACACAATTAGTATAGTTCTCCAAAATATTAATGTATTTCTGGTGCAACACGGTAGTCTTCATTCTTTTACTCAACCCAAACTCTACTTAGAAATGTGTTAAGGATACTGTTTTTCAAACTGCTGGATGGACTTGTTTTTGTTATATTGATACAGTCCTTCAAAAAACTGCCTGCTGATTGTATCCCCATAATCATGTCTCCTGTGATATTATCATTGGGGATTAAAAGTGTTCTGTGTCTCTTTCTTTATGTTGCTATCTGGGTGACTGTTTGGATCCTTCCGTTGTATAAATCAATCATTTATTTGTTTCCAAGTGGTATTTTTAGATTCTATTGATATTAAATTTTTTTGTGCTAAGAATGAATCTTGATTCAGAAAAAGATAAAGCTACTAGTATCTTTTCTTTGCAACATCCAGGTAATCACAGGGTCTGGTCTATGTAAGTTTAGTCTAATTTTGTTTATAATTTTATGTAGTAACTAGTGTTTGCACGTGGGTTGTTTTATGCAGTTGGGTTCCCCTAGGTTCTCCCTGGGTTCTCTCTCTCCAGTAATCCAGTCTTTCCAGTTCTTTCTCAGGAGTCCCTCTCTCTGCTACACCTGAAGTTTTTCTGCTTGTTCATGTGGATGCTGTCAGCTGCAGGATTGGTAGGGAATATCCAGTTCTCGATTGGCTTTTTCAGATACCCTCAGTATGAGCCTTTTGTCCTCGCTGGCACTCATAATCTGGTCATCTGGAAGGTTCTCGACAGTTTCAGACTTTGGCAATAACTGATAAGTTTGTAACTTTCACAATGACTGACAGGTTACTTTATTATATCGAAGTTACTCCCTTACCCTGTAGGGTTATCTGTAGTTAAAATGCTAACGCTATTGTCAGCCAGACCCAGCCTATGCCAACTGCTGCAGTATATCTGAGGGAGATTTTTTGACCTCTCGTATCTCAATAGGAAGAAAAAGCCAAATCTAAATCTTGTTCATTTGATGATCCAGGTACTCCCTTTTGATTTATCTTTGGAGAAGTTTTTGCTTTCTTAGTTGAAAAATGAATGTCATAATTTCCAGATAGTTTTCTGTAATTATCTGAATGTTTCCTGTGATCATATGGGTTGGTAATATGAAAGAGATTTTACTTGTGCTAGGTCAGTTTGTTTTGAAAAATAACTTCAGTACTTTTGATGGTTGAATCTTTGTGAGTCTTATACATATACAGTGACTTTGTTTCAAAATTGTGACTATGCTCCAGACCTCTAGAAAACAGATCTGTAATTTGAACTTTCTCTTAACATCTAAAAAGGAATAGTGAAGAAGTGATTCCCGCCCAAAAGCTAGAAATATTACATTATGTAGGAATAATATTTTTTTACAATGTTTCCCAGTAAACTTTAAAAAGTTTACTGTTTCTACTGGAAAAATAATGATCGCTCAAGTTCTTATATTTCCTGATGATGAGAATGTTAACTGTCCAGTCAATCCTGTCTGATTTGTTTTATACTCCTTTATGATTTTACTTGTGTTATTGTTCTGTTTTGGGCTAGGCTTTGAGATATGATCCATATCAAAAATGGATTTTAATCAGAAAACTTTTCATTGAATTATGACTTCTGTCAGTGCTATATCTGTTTTCACATTTACATTTAGTGACTACCGTGAATGTCTTCTCTTTTAGACATTCTAACACAAATATAACTTTAGTAGGTGTAAAATGAAAATAGACAATTTTTTTCAAATATTGTGACATGGAGTCCTTTTACAAACTGCTGGTTTCTCTTAGCAATCACCCATCTAATCAACTCAGTGAGTGCAATATTTTCTCCAGGGGTCTAGAATTAACTGTTACTTTCTGGTGTGGGTTTTTTTGTGGTGTTCTTTGTTCATTTGGTTAGCCCACTTGTGTGTTAAAAGAAAAATAGTAATTAATTAATGCAGCAGTCCTTTTTATTAAGAAGGTATTCCTTTGTGGATAATAAATGTTGCACACTCATAGCCTTAGTCTGTCATAAATGAACTGAATTTATTTCAAGAAAGTGTCTTGGAGTTCGTAGGATAACAGAAGTACAAAGCAATGTAGTATCAGAAAGACTTGATTTTGTTGTTTTCCTTTCTTTTCCTGGGTGTGGGTTTTGTTTAAAAAGACTGTATTATTGTATTCTAACATTATGTATGGCTTGGTTTTTCTGCAAAAATACCTTAGTGTTAATACTGTTTAAATTGCTGTTGGCTTCTGAGGTTTATTTCATGCATTTCAACTGCATTAAATGTATGGAGTGCATATTGGAAGTATTTGCCATAATATACTTCAATATTAATTAAGGCTTTATTATTTGTATTGCAGAGCTACGTAAGTTCTGTTCTTAGTGATGTCTCTTCATTGTAGTAGACCTGTAAAAGCACAGAGTAAAAATTATGAATACTCCAAAGAGTTCGTAGTCTAAATGATCAAACCCTGCTGCAAAGTGTTCTCAGTGCTCTCTCTCTGTTACTAGAAACAATGGTCTGGAATTTTAAAATTACTTATCAGTAGTATCATATTAACAACATAGTTTAGCAATGCACAACAGTTAAGTTTTCAGATTATATGTTATAGAGATGGGAAAAAAATGTGTTTGGTTATACCATGCCTTTTTATTTTTGATGGAACTTTGCAATCAGAAAAGTCAAACTCCAGGTGGTGCTGTGCCTCTATTCATGTTTAAATAGTGTTGCGTTTAGATAGTTGTGCCATTGTTTGTATATAGAAAACCAGTAATATATATTGAGTATAAATTTACTACAGATGTTATTGAGGGTTACTGTATTAGAACAGTATTACCCTAGTTATAGCCATTCTGTATCTTTTTATTGAATGTATATTTCCAGTTCATGTGGAATTTTGGAAATGTAGTGCTGTAATTTTTTTCATCTTCCAGATCCGTGGATTTTTATCAAGATTTGATAATGTTCTTCCAGTCAGCCTGGCATTTGATAAATGCACAGCCTGTTCAACCAAAGTAAGTCTGAGTTGGTCTGTACTTTATTTATATGTACAGAATGGTCTTGCTCTAGGTCAGTCTTGGGGTGCCGAGGACCGCTTTGTATTTGCTTACCTCCTTAGGGGTTGGAATCTGTGTTCTCACTTCAGCTAAAGTTCTTTTGCCCTCATACCCTCCTTTTTTTATCTGTTTTCCAGATTTCTTTGGCATCACCAATTAGCATGCGATCTCCATGTAAACATTCTAGTCAGCTAAAGAAACCGAGAAGAGATTAGGGCCAACACATTTCTGAAAAGTTTATCATATAAATACTGTTAATATCTTTTAGCTTTGTAGAAAGGAGTAAAATGGGTATTGGTTTTAGTTGTTTAAGAAATTATTTCTGATGTCTGATGAATAAATATATCTTTTCAGCTTTCTTGAACTTGGTATCGTTACAAATACGCAAAGTTGTCTAAATTTCTGTTTTATGACACAAAGCAAACATATAAAGAGCACTTAAGGAAAAAAATTACTTCCATAACATTTCTTTATTGAAAAGACTGTTTCATTTTGATGCTAGTGTTGACAGTCCTGAGTCACCTAATAGATTTACAGCTGTTGGTGGGATCTGAGCTGTGTCTTGCCAGAACACCAGGGCAGCCCACTAATGTGTCTGTGTGAGGCCGCCTCTTCAGTCTTGGATTGTTTTCCTGTACTGTGGCCTTGAAAAGTTTTTTCTGGCAAGTTTTCTATGTCCATGTAGTGCAAGTTCAAGAAGTTTTGACTGGGATATCTCGATATGAAGATTCAGAGGTTTTGACTCATGATTTGGACTGCTTGGAGTGCCATTTAGTTCACTTTTATGTACCTTGAGACTTACTGCAAGAAGTTCTTTCTGTTCTTTTCACTGCACTTGTCCTTCTTTCAAACAGCTATCAAAAACTCCTGAGACACTATCATTTTTTTGAGGACTTCCACAATTTCTTCTTCTACAGTATTCCTTTTATTTCTCTAGGCTATCTGGGTACATTTGACAAGTTTTGAAGGAATATTAACATCCATTTTCTCCTCAAAAGTTGAAGCACTAAACTTAAAACTGCTGTTATTTTTAGAAACATCTATCTACCCTCTCGAATAGCTGAAAGCTCAGCAGCAGCTAAAACTTTATGATGGTTGAGCCTGATAAGTTAAACTGTTAGAATAAGCTTTTTTTTTTCTTTTTTTTCTTTTTATCTCTGATCCAGGACATATTGATATATAAAAAACAATAAAAACATAAATAAATTTAATGCAGGTATCAATTTTTTGTTAGCAAATCATTTCCTCTTGGAGGTCATTTTAAGAGAGCCCTGTTTTACATAAACAGACTTGATGATTTAATAAAAACTGACTTGGATTTTAGCAGCTGTGCTATTCCCAGAGAGATCACTTTTCATGTGGTTTGGGTATTAAATTACTTCTGTGCTGAAAAGGTTGCTTCATTGGCGCACGTATTTCCTTACAGTAGAAACACAGCGTTTGTTTACTTTGCTAACTTTCTATTTATTAGCATAAGAGTATGTCACCCTGTATTATCTGGAAATCTGATGCTAATACTTTGAAATGACAAATCCAATTACAATTGAATTGTAGTCTGTATGTTGGTTTGTTTTTTTTAATGCAGCAATTTAGCATAATTTCATCCTGATCTATGTCAGATTGACTGTAGATTCAAAACTTTTAGCACAGGAGAGAAGTGGCTTTTCTGATATACTTAAATTTGCTGGTACCTCATTCATTTTCTTCTTTCTTATGTCAGCACTCTCTTTCTTGAGCTCTTGTCACTCTGTAACTCTTAAAACATAAAACTAATGAATTTGGAATTTAAAAAAAATTCCAATACATTCTTAAGTCATCCAGTACAGCTGGATAATTTAGGAGAAGCTGCTAATGATCTGCATGTTTAGAGATTAGATTCCATTTCATTTTGACTCTCAGTCATGACTTCATTTCTCTGTTTTTTGAAGCTGAATAGACCAGACGTCCAAGCAGCCAGCTATTCCTTACCCAGGATTGTCCTAAACAGGCTGCATGCCAGAGAAGCTTCCCGCAGGCAGTTGTTCAGGAATTTTGGGATGGTCGCAGCAGGAAACCAATCTATTTTTATTTCAGGCCAAATTTTCCTTGTATGATTTCCCTCTCTGTCTTATTCTGGTTCTGCACAGGCATGTGCTAGAATGGAAAGTATCCTCTTTCAGAGCTAACGGCACTGCATTGCCAGTTGAGTAGTAGGTCTGAGGAGCAGTGTAAGCTCTTCTGATGCACTTTCCCTTCTCAGTAACAGAACGAGTTTGACATCGAAAAAGGAGTCCAAAGTTCTTTAGTATAGGTATTTATTTGTATTAACTGCTTTACTTACAGAATGAGAATGTTAAGCTTATTACTTACTGTGCTAATTAAGCTGTCTGTTTACCCTCTTGGGACCAAAATGAGGATATTTTCTCATAACATTATGGTGAGAAGCATTACAATTCCATAGAAAAGTAGAGTGGTCCTCATCCTTTACTACCTGATCCTTGCAGGCAACTGGCTAAAGCCTTGAAACATGAATGTTAAAATATATATCTATCTTAATAAAAACTGCCAGTGTTTATATTTTAATGAGGGTAGTGAAAATTTTCCTGTTATTGCTTCTCCCTCCCCCTTGTGCGTTATGGACTGAACCAGGAGACCTCATAGATTCAGAGTTTAATGTCAGAAGAGATTATTGCTACTAGCCAACTTGGATGTATAGATGCCCCCTCTGTTTTTACATATAGCTCATAGATCTTATTTCCTCCAGAGTTTGGATTTTTCGTCCATGAGCTAGAAAGCTAACTTATTTTCCTTAAAGATATTTCTCTCCTTCCCCTACTAAAATTCTTCTGATATGTAATTATCTCCACTGTCAGATTAAAAAAAAAAAAAAAAAAGCTGCATAAGTATCTCTACTAATTTTCAAGTCCTTTCTCAACTTTCTATTCAGTATGCTGAAAAATTGAGCTGCTTAAGTTATAGGTTTTTTAACCACTGAGTAATTTTACTGACTTACCTTTAAATGTTTTTCAATTTCATTGCATTTCATCGAGGGGTAGACACTAGGATCAGGGTTGGTATTCTAGGCACTATGTTGCAGTTTCTGTTTTCAGTCAAGACATTTCCCTACCCTTGCAGATGTTTTCCCTTTTTAACATCCCAGGAATACATTAAACACTTCTACTGTGACATTTACTGAGCGCCTGTGTTGCGTAAGTTATTTATGAGTGTTTCGGTTTTGAAATCTATCATCATGTAGACATAACAACGCTTTTATTGTTGTCATCTGCTAACTGCTTCGCATGCATTTTTACTTTAAATGGTTCTGATCAGTTATGACAGTAACCTGTGGCATTCAGTAATTTACTGATTTTTTTCAGTAGAGATAATTTTAATTTTGATTCCAGCAAGACAAGACCCTTCATATTTGCCCTAGCTGCATTGAGAAAAGACTTTCATATTTGCTTTCTCCCAGTAACAGCATATTGTACCATCTGTCAGCGAAACTCTTTTATATCTTTTTATATTATACATTTCTCGATTTAAGTATTGTGTTGATGTTAAGTAGAGATGTATAAGTCTTGGGGGGGGGGAACCTTGGTCTTTCCTGTACTAAAAAAAGCTAACTCTTGCATAGCTTGCAGAAATGATGGAGGAAATGGGGAGAAATGTTTGTCCTTCAGGAATGAACACTACAAAAATTTAAAAGAATGTTTAAAAAGAGTTATTTCTGTAGCTGTGCTGTAACATTAAGTCTATGTAACTGAGTCTGTTTATAACTTTCCTTATTTCCTGAATTTACATATGTTAACATTTGACACTTCTATGTACAGTGCAGCCTCTGTATTAATACTGGATAGATTTCATTCAGACTTAAAGAATGCATCGTTAATATACCTAGGCATATTTTCAGCATACTGAGTTAAATGCAATACTTTTCTTATTCTTAAGGTAGCATAGAAATCTGTTTTATTTTAAATGACTTAGAGAAATTTATTATTTTTCTTTTCTTCTTTTTAAAAATGTCCTTTTAACTGGGGGGAGCAGGAGGCAGGACTACCTTGTCCACAACTTTTGAAATCTCAGGCAGTCTTTACCTCTCTGGATATAAATTTTAAATTCAGTAAGAATCGAAATAATACGTATTTTCAAAATTAGTCATGGTGAGGATGGTTTTACTGCTGGTTGCCTGAAAGATGTGCATTCTTGAAAATAACGCCTGGTCTTACTATTTCAAAAATACTGAATTTTCATTATAAAGCCAACAAAATATGCCCAATAAAAGGATATTAACAGAAGGAAGCTATGATGTGTACTAAGAATACCACATCACACACTAAGAAATTATGACCATGGTAATGTGACCATTATGATGGAGTTTTGTCCCCTTAGAGGAGGGCAGATGTGATCAAGAACCCCAGAAATCTTAAAAGTAACATTAACTTTAAACATTACCCTATTATGTGAACAGAGAAAAGGGTGTGGAATCAGCAGTGTATTCATTCAGTTTTGTGCATTGGAGAAGGTGGGGAGGTGTTCAGACAGGATGGATGATAATTGAAAAATGGAACTTAAAAAAACCAGCAACACTGAAATCTAATAAGGTGGGAGAGAGGTCATTATCTCTGTCCTATATCTCAACACCCCTCCCCCCCCCTCCGATGTTAATGAAGTATGTGTAGTTCAGTGGAGAAGTTATGTCTTGTTACTCCTTGCTTAGTCCATCACGATGACTGGAAACATCATAGCTAATCCTATGTGAAGACAGTAGTGCCAAATAAACTGCCTTTTGCATGTAACAGCTCCACAGTAAAGGTTGTAAATGGAAGGAACATGGGGAGAGGTAGAACATAATTATGTTCAATCTTAAATCATACCATTTACCAAAATTCAGAAAGCAGGTTGACATTCCCATGTGTTAGCACTGTTATGGCTGATTGTAAGAGTTAGAAATGATGAATGTTTTGCATCACTTATTCAGA